TCTCTCTCTCTCTCTCTCTCTCTCTCTCTCTCTCTCCAACGGGCAGCAGCGGAGGGTGGCATGTCGAAACGGCCGCTTTAAAATTGTGCGGGCCTGTGTGAAACCCGCCACCACGTCGAACCTGCAGTGCATTGTGTCCGGGCCTGTAGGCGCTGTCCGGTGGGGTGAAACAACACTGAAAAATCATCCCGTTATTTTTCAAGGGGTGGCCAGGACCCGAAAAATGTCCTGGGCCATCCCTTTTTTTCTTTGGATTTTTTCCCTGGGGGCCTCCATCCGGACATCACGGACCAGACACCAGACCCCGACATGTTGTTCCGGACTGTCTGGAACCCGGTCCGGAAATCCGGTCGGTTACCACGGGGAAAAAAAAAAAAAAAAAACCCTACGAACTTCGAGTCCCACGAGGTTGGGGAAGGCTCTCATGGAGGTGGAAATCACACCAGTGCTTTGAGGAATGAATCTGGCCACTATGTGTGGAACGTGATTGCTGTTGTTCTTGTTTTTTTTCCCTTCTTCACATGTCGTTATAGTGCCCTGCCAGCGAGGCAGGCCGTATTCCACCGGGGGCAAGTAACTGGCTCACTTACCTCATACTCATACTAGTACTGTAGCATCCTGTATCGGACCGCAATCACAGCATAAGGGATGCTTCTTTCCCCCCCCTTCTCTGTTGTTCATCTGACAGACGCCCTCACGGAGGCCACAGTCACACTAGCACTTCATAGAATGTATCTAATGGTTATCACAGCGTTAGGGAGGTTTCTTTTTTTTCTTCTTCTTTTTTCTGTTTTCATCTTCGTTTCTGGATGCAACTGCCCAGGCTCGGCAAAACTTGGTGCGCAGTGAAATTCAGGTTCGGCAAAAAAAGGATCGGAGGTAATGACGGTTTGAACTCGACAAAAAAACAAACAAAAACGGGTTCCCCAACTTCCCCTTTTTTTTCTGTTGTCTTACAAGCCAGGCCACAGTCAGGCATGTGTGAAAGTCCTGTACAAATCACAAGGCGATGTATCAGTTGCGGCAGATGTCCACATATATCTGACTTCCCCTCCAACCTATCCTGGTGTTTGAGTGCTACCCACTGGGGCAGGTTCCCAAGAACATGCTCAGGGGTACTGGTGGTTTAAGATTCAGTCTGCACACTAGAAGGTTTCTAGTAGTCTCAAAAGTTGAGCCTATATGATCCTAGAACATGCAAATGAATAGGTGCTTGACTGTATAGGCTGTGGCGGAACAGAGGATCCAAAGAACATGCTCAGGGTTAGTGGTGGTTTCAGACTGCAGTACCGTCTTCCCCCGAATAGAACGCCTGGTCATTATAGCCGTATGTGGGGCAACTTTCAGTCCAGATGCAGACATAATGACCGGGCGTGCTATTCGGGTGAAGACGGTAGTGAAGGTTTCGAGCAGTCTAAAAAGTTGAGCCTATATGGTCTTAGAACATGCAACATTAATAGGTGCTTGACTGTATAGGCTGTGGCGGAACAGCAGATCTGCTGGTAGATGTGGGATTGTGTTTGGGGCACTACATCCAGTGGACATACAGTCGAGTAAGAGAGTGATGGCCACACAAGTGGAAAGGGAGGTGGCTAGGAGGAAGAGGAGGACAAAGAAGGAGAAGAAGACAGAGGGAGGAGAGGATGAAGACGACGGGAATAAAGTAGAAGAAGAAGACGTAGGAGTAGAAGAAAAAGGAGAGAAGCGTTTGAACAGCAGATCTGCTGGTAGATGTGGGATTGTGTTTGGGGCACCACATCCAGTGGACATACAGTCAAGTAAGAGAGTGATGGCCACACAAGTGGAAAGGGAGGTGGCTAGGAGGAAGAGGAGGACAAAGAAGGAGAAGAAGACAAAGGGACGAGAGGATGAAGACGACGGGAATAAAGTAGAAGAAGAAGACGTAGGAGTAGAAGAAAAAGGAGGAGCAGCAGGAGAATGAAGAGGAACAACTGGCGGGACACAAGTTTTGTGGCAGTGTGAACTACCTTATTGCAACCCTCGTTCTTTATCAACACCATCTTGCAGTTGCTGCAAGTCCGTAAGACAGCTTTGGTCATCAACTGCACAAACGACAAGAGATACAGTGCCATCCACATAAGACATGGTCAAACGGTCACTTCCTA